ACTACCACAAGCCAATGTCATATAGTTTCCTTTCTCGTGCACAATAGGTCATAGGCCTCGTTAGTATTCGGCCACATCATTTAACTGTTCATGATCAGGGGCGGTTCTAGATGATGAAGACGAAGAAGAAGATGATGATGAGGAGGAGGAGGAGGAGGAGGAGGAGGAGGAGGAGGAGGAGGAGGAGGAGGAGGAGGAAGAAGAAGGAGATGATGAAGAAGGAGAAATAGTGGAAAAAAAAAACAAAAAGAGAAAAAGAAGGAAAGGAGAAAGAGGAGGAGAAAAAGAAGAAGAAGAAAGAACAAAAAAGATTCATCGCTAAAAAAAAGGATTTATATTAAGGACTGTTTGTTTCCATCCTCCACGGTGCTCTCCATGCAAGATGGGTTACATATAAATTGATATTAAGTTAATGCCGTCCGTTATAGCTAAGCCTTTACTGTTCAAGAACGAAATGCAGATTATTTTGAAGAAGACTAATACAGCTTCCGATTTTATTTTTTCCGGTCCGCAGTGGTGGAGGTGTTTCCTCACCCCCTCTTATTTGGTTCCGAGTCTCGACTAAGAAACACCGAATAAAAATGCGGTGTGTGAAATGGCGCCAAAAAGGAATACCACTAATCACGCGATTATCATTTCCCCTCTATCTTGTGTCAGGTAGTACCCCTTAGTGCAGACCGCCATTGCTGCAAGCCTTGAGTTTTTTTAAAGGTTTTTTGCATTTATATTATTTCATTAGAATAAGAGAAAAGATACAAACAAGGAAGGAAAGAGACCGAAGTATATTTACCTTTTCGTCATTAGAAACAAAGATTTTATCCCATTTTCTAGATATTTGTTTGGTGCAGTTTGATATCAAAGTAATCTCCTTTGAACAGAATGTAATTGTGGTATAAATGTGGTAACTCCCTCGTTAAGTTGTCATCCTCGTACTTTTTTGTGTTTTTGTTTTTATAACAGGATGGAAAAACACCCGCATGTAAATAAATGATTTCCATATTAGTTTATTTCTTCAATTAACGGTTATGCATGTCATAATATGTTACGGTTTCCATTTGGTAGTTTACGTCGTACACATATTGCGGCATAGGACTTCCGTAATCTTTGGGTTATTTTTAGATGTCATGAATAGGCATTTCCAGAATATTGCTAAAACAATAACAACACTGTAAACACCGGAACGAAAGGATAAACAACAACAAACAAGCAAACAACGAACGGAGGAAGTTTAAAAGCGAAATTACTGCTGGGTTAGGCTTATAAAAATAGGGTTGGATAATATTCAATGTCAAAACGTTGGAAACATGATTTGCTAAATAAAACGATGATTTCTTGTCTGCTTACCATGTATGTTTTATTTTGATTATGACCAAATGGGGAAATTCGTTTCACAGTTTCCGAAATTCTCAGGAAAAGATTTTTTCTCTTTCCTCGTCGTCGTTTTCGTTGTCATATATGTTTTTGTTTTTTTGCCGTCGTGGGCATATTCATCATCTTCTTCGTATCTTTCTTCTTTTTGTCCTTCTTTCTTCTTTTTTCTTTTTCTTCTTCTTCTTCTTCTTCTTCTTCTTCTTCTTCTTCATCTTCTTCATCTTCTTCATCTTCTTCTTCTTCTTTTTCTTCTTTTTCTCCTACTTCTTCTTCTTCTTCTCCTTCTTCTTCTTTTCCTTCTTCTCCTTCTTCTTTTTCTTCTTCTTCTTCTTTTCCTTCTTCTTCTTCTTTTCCTTCTTCTCCTTCTTCTTCTTCTTCTTCTTCTCCTTCTTTTTCTTCTTCTCCTTCTTCTTCTTCTTCTTCTTCTTTTTCTCCTCCTTCTTCTTCTTCTCCTTCTTCTTCTCCTCCTTCCCCTCCTTCTTCTTCTTCTTCTCCTTCTTCTTCTTCGTCTTCTTACAAAAAAAAAAAAAACTTCTTAACAGAACGAATCAAATTAGCTATTATGCGGAGAGGGGTGCAGTATTACTTAATTAGGGTGATTCAGAGCGTATTTCACCTCTATGATTCCATTGATTTCTGAATACACCACAGGGCATTATTTCCACAACTTCATAACATCGTCTGCTAATGATAGGACAACTTACCCGTTGCCTTTTCTATATATGAAGACGGATAAATACTTTCGAAATATCGACTTTCTGCACAAAATGTCGTTGATAATGTTGATGTTGTTGAAGTTAACTTGTATAACCATGGTAACGGCATTTGGCGTCTCCTTATATACAAAACACCGGAAGCATTCCGACTGCGGTCGAAGCCGGGACACTTTCGCTTTGGTTCCAGGAAAGACGTGTCGTACTTTGGACAGCCTCATTCATTCTTTATCTCAAATGTGCAACAAACCGCCGAGACAAACATTCCGAGGAAAGTGGCGAAAACGAAACTATAGGAAGGTGACGTCATGCATAATTAAGGGGCGGGTACTAGGAAAAAAAGCAACAAGGAGTGCCTAAACCCCCTCTGAGGATGTGGCTCCCCTTTATCTGCAAAATTAATTTCATTTTATTGTATTTTGCCCATTATGCTTATTTCATCTTCAGAATTGTTTATTGTGATTCATTTTCAGCTTATAGATAAATAGAATAATCCACAACTAGGCGCTGTGGCGTGCGCCTGTAATCCAGCTAACAGTGGAAGTTACAAACTGATTCAGCCGAGGACGTAGGTTCGAAACTGAGTCACGTCTTTCGGATGGTGACGTTTAAAGGTCGGTTCTCAGACGTAAATGATCATATCTGATTGATACACGTCTGTAAAAACCCAATACACACACACACACACACACACACACACTGCGAACGTTATTTCACATAGCTTTTCATAAGTTAAAAAAGTCAAACAGAGAAACAAACAAACAAACATTAATTTCGAAGATACTGAAATCGTTTTCAATTTCTTCTTATTTAGAAATGATATGACTTTGTCTAATAAACAACTCCGTCCAAAACATACTTTTTTTGAGTTTCTGACTATCTTATAGCAGTTCCAAAACCAACTTTTATCTCGGCGTCATTGACAAAATAATGCAGAACGGAGAGTGATATCATGTAACAGCAATGATATAGTAGAAGTATGTTCGTCGTTATGTAACATAGTATTGATGCCACTTATAGATATGTTAAACGTTGCTGTTATCGCTTTACCATATTTACCCCAATACCAACAACCCCCCTCCCTCCTCGATGTCTTTGCTATGACTACACCATATAAATACTTCTAGCGGTTTATTCGACCAGGGGATAAATATTTTGCTGTGTGCTCGAGGTATCCTGGAATTTATGACGTCACTGTCCTGTTTGAGAACGAATACTAATGTATTTAATAAGTTATAGATTGGTAAAGGGCAGACCCTAAAAATACTCGGATTTATTCCTGTTGTGGGCAACTTCCAACCCACGGAAAAGCCGAACAAAAGCAGGATGATCCTGTTGTTATTTACATCAAATTGTGTTTACAATGTAATTCATGAATATATAGCTATAAATGTTTATTTTTATCAGCAAATTTCGTGCAAAGCCTTAAAATAGTAATTATAGTTTGCGTGGAAAGGTACATTCTTGGAGAAAAAAAAAGAAAACGAAAACTTTTACCCATTTTGGCAATATAAGATACATGTCAAATATTAGAGACTGATGAATAATTGATATCTATCGAATTAATGTATTATATAATTATACAACCATCGCAAAAACTTTCGAAAAATCAACCTCAGGCAATTCCAATATCCGTGTGTGTCACCTATTGAACTGTTCGAATATGATAACGTTATCCAAATATGATTTCTATATGGGGCATACAATAGGGTATTGAAATTGCCCTTGTGTTTATTTTTCGAAAAAACTATAATCGTGTCATATTTGTATATTTCAATATTCCTGAATTATTGGATTGATATACACCACTGATGCATGTTATACTGTAATCAAAAGAGTCACTCATACTATATATAACGTAAACATAACATAATAATGAGGTCACCATGACTTGTGTGCGAATACGAATTAGGCAAGGGCTAAAAGTTCATCGATTCGTATCTGTGTTAGTCGGTGCATGAAGTATCTTTCTTTGCATTTTCAGCTAAAAATCGTACTCCTCAATTTCATAGAAGGGTTTGATAAATAAGCATAATAGGAATGGTTCCTCATTAACGAAGTCTAAAAGTAAGGTTAACAAATTAAATTGAAAAAAAGTAACAAAACAGAAGCATTTAAAAAAAAAAGGTATGCGTGTTCAATCTGTCTACATTACTCAACCCAGGCAAACATGTTTTTACAGCGAAGGGAATGGGACAATTGTGCTTTCTTTTGCATTAATTGAATTTAAAAGTACCTTCTTCAAAAGTTCAATATCGTTTTTAAATGATTGATTCGTAGTGAGAAGAAATAAAAACCACAAAAGAAAAGAATCTACTCTTTTTAGTATGGTTTGATGTTTGTGTGCTGTAACACGTACCCATTTCATCAAAGGGCCGACTTTCTTTGTCTTTATTTTTACTAGAGTATTTCATTCAATTATGTATATTAACTTTGCATGTACGTTCGAAGTTATATGTATCTACCCTTGTTAAAATGTAACCAATACCTACAAAACTGTATGGGCCCTACTTGAAGAAGAACAACAGGTCCCCTCTTTCATCTATTCATCAAGAGTTTCTTGATCATTTACTGATGAAGATGAAAGCTACCGCATCTTCCCCGCCTTTCTTTTCTAATCCCAGCGAAGGACAATACAGAAGAAGAGAGAGAATTTGTATAAGACACCGTCTCAATGTTTGGTTAATTTGTTAGGGTTTTGCCGCTTCAAAGCGCAAACTCGAGTAATCGCTCACTTGTTTTGTTCTCCTAAATAAATTAGTGGACTTTGTGCGACCCAGTGAATAGCGGAACTTGGCCTGCAGATTCAGTGAGTGTATCCGTGTGGTTACGCCGTGCTAAAAAAACGAGAGCATATCCGCTGTAGCACGCAAGCTCACCTCCGCTACAAATAGCCTACGCGATGCTGCCAAGTTCATAGTACACGTTCTAGCGATCAAGGATAGCGGACACTCATCTACTTTCGCTGCCAGTACTCCCCCGATTAGTTTGTTGTGATTTTGTACCGCGGTGTTTTTCAAGCGAAAGGGAGAAATGGTTATCGTTGAACACCCTCGCCCGCTCGCTATGCGGGATCTCTACTACCTAGCGGCGGCTAGGCGAGCGATGTGCCCGAGCTTCCCCGTGCCTAAGCCTCATCCACAGGTGAGACCAGTAGACTTTCGTGTTGCGTTATTGCTTACGAATGTTAAAGTTTCAGCAAATTTCTTCCTTGGTGGAACAACCATTTATAGTAATTATACGATGTAGGCCTACAGAGCACTTTTACGTATATTATTTAGTAATGAACGCAACTTTGTTTTCTTCCTCCAAAGGCAAATGCCACCAGAACCAGAAATATGCCCGTAAACCGAAATATGCCTCCTTGTTTTGTTAAGTCGTTTAAGTACAAAAAATGCACTGCTTTCAAATGGAAAACATTTTTTTGTTTGACTGTTGATTGTGGTTCGTTTGTATCAATTTTCAAACGATTTCGACATTGTTCATTTAAATATTATGTTGGTTTTGGGGACATATGTCGACTCAGATTGTTGAAAAATGTAATGAATGGGGCAGATATAGTTATTTGATGTGAGTACGTCCATCAACAATTGAGACGTTTTGCGTTTCATAGACAAAGGAAATATATATGAATGTATTCTCCTATATCATGTTTAGTATCATAATGGTTTCACTTAAACCTATTTGAAAAAAGTTATTTTTTAAATATTTGTTTTCTAAATGTTTTGGGAAAGTAACTTTAAAGAAAGAGAGAGAAAGAGAGAACCAAAATTACATGCACTTTAAACAAAAATTCATTAAATGTTGATATCACTGCTATAATGCTAAAGACCTATCAAATCTTTTTGTGGAAGTCACATTTTCTAGTTTCACGCAAATTATTAGGTCAGGCCCACTTAATTTTCTTTAGACCAAATTTGGAAATTCATGTAAATCCTGACACTTCTTTCAACTAAGTTTTCTAAATCATTCAATATACGCGGATCAGCTTCGTTGCAGGCTTTCTTGTTTTTTGTTTTTCGTGTGTTGATATTTTTATTTTCCCCAGCCATCTTGCGCATTTCATGCTAGTTTAGTGTGTTGCTGTTTCTTATTACATCCATAGAGTAGATGTATTTATTTCTGTCTCTCTCCCAAAAAAAAAAAGACACACTTATTATTATTTTGCCTTCTCACATCTCTGAATTTCTTATCTTCCCAGAAAGTAACGTAAATGGCGTCACTTTCGCATATTCCCACTTCCTGTTTCCATTTCAAAAAGCCCCCTCTTTTATTGTTTTGTCCCCCCTCCTCCCACTCCATAGAAGATCCTCCCCTTTCGTTTTTCTCCCCATCTTCTCTTTTTCCTTTCTTCGTGCTCGATAATTCCCGCATCCCGAACTTTTCATTTCAATAAAATCAAAGAGGGGCGCACGCTTTCAGTCTACGACTCATAGGGGTGGGCGGGTCTATTGTGGCGGGGTCATACAAAGAGATAAAGGGGGTACTCCTAGTATTATAGGGGCGGGTAATGACCCGGTCCTCAATTGTTACCTTTACCAGGACAAAGCACCCTTAAAGGCATTAGCTTTGATAACCGCCCTGTAAGTGTCGGCTAGACGGGTTAAGTGAATCGTTAGAATGGACTTGTCAAAACACTTTGGTGAATTCTTAAGAAAGTGGCGGATTTGAATAGCGGTACATCTTTAAGATGGTATAGAATAAGTCAGGAAGTGTGATAGCTTGTAAATAAAGTGAAGGGCGAAAGATGAGGGTATTATTGGTGTGTTGGAAAGTAGGAAAGCCGGAAATTGTCGTCGTGAATGTTCGAGATTATATCATGATGCATATGGTTATGTATGTTGGATAAGGGAATGTCAAAGTATGTCACGAAGACAATGTATAATGATAGTTCATCTATAGAGATATTGAAGGAAAAAATTATTCAATTCTTATCACTAAGATAATGACAATATTCATTTCTTAGAAATCTTTCGCAAGATATACTGAAAAAGAGAATGACATGAAATTCTAGTTTCATTAACATATAGGTATATCAAAAGACAATTGTTATGATAATCCATTAGCTAGAACAGTTTGATCAGGACACAGTATCTTTATCTAGAAAACTGATCAAAAGACTCGGCATAAATACTGCAAATTGAGATGACGTAATGGTGTTCGTTTTATATTGATCAATGCATATCTCGTTTTCTGTTCATCATTTTTGCTTTAAAACAACACCAGAAACAAACAAACAAACACTCAAACATAGAGAGAGTGAGAAAAACAAAATTGCTAAAAAATTGGTAGAAAGTGACATTGTTTATCTGAAGTGACGTCACGGCTTAATGATATCCTACCTACCGCGGATGATATCTGTGTATTCTGAATAGATATTATAAATATGTGATCACCAAGCGGGTGGTTTGTAACAATAAACATTGATTAACGACTTTACATACTCATTAACCAAGACAACTAAATAATAAATATAACAACAACACCGGAACGAACTGCACCCAAACTTTTAGTTTTATTCGAGCCATTCATATTTTACGTGTGTCATTTCGTAGTAACACCACCAACTCGACTGAACGTCGACCCCCAAAACCGACGATTCTCCGCCGTTGGAAGTAATGTCATGTAATTCTTTACTCGGTCTTGTTGGTGTATCGCTGCGGTATCTTTTTGATGCTGTACCAAGCAACAATACTTATTTACATATCCAGTCAGAGTAATTCTAATTTTCTTTTTGGTATTATTCTCGGGTAATTTGGTTGATTTGATTGCGCGGTAGATTTATGGTCAGGTAATTCCCTAATAATGCTTTTGTAGGACAAGAATTGTTCTATTGTAACACCTGAATATTTTTCTTTAAATGTTGAGTTTGCTAATTTTCCCTCTTTTTCAAGACTTTCACAATCGAGAGATACTCGCATTCTATAATACTTCCGATATATCTCTGAATGACTCTCAATTGATGAACAGGAATTAAAAACCAAACTCTTTTCAGTAATTCGAATATTCTAGACCATAAAGACGGAAGGGGAATTTAACGAACAGTCACAATTCGTGAATTCATGATATCAGGTAAAACTATTTAATAAACGATATGGAAATCAATATATCTGTAAAGCGACATGGTAATAGTATATCTGTAAAGCGCTTAGAAACATCATAGATGTATTAAGCGCTACATGAAAGTGGAATATTATTATACACAGAAAATGTACTATTTCGTAGAATTATGATGTTACGTAAAACTAATTATTTACCTAAACACTTTCATTCTGGTTTCATTGCTGATGTATTTTCTTGATATAACGGAATACTACTCTCCATTTCTGCTTATGACGTTTACTTCGTATATATTTCACTGTTTAATTCGCTCGGTGAGTGTTATTATACCATTTGTTCCGGGTGTAATGAATGTGAATGACTAATGAGTTATAATTAATTCATTCAAAATCCTGACTATATTTTGACCCAACATTTATAGCAGCATGCATGATGCAAGTAGGTTATATAATTGTAATGATTCTACGTAATAGTGTCTTAAAGGTAACAAACAAACAGACAAAACACAAACCGGACCAAATAAAACTTAAATAAATAAAGAAAGTCCAAAAGAAAAGATGAATAAAAAGCAATGTTTGCATGGTCTGCAATAGGGAAATTGGCCCAGTGTCCCCGACTGTTCTAGAAGAAAGTTTTCTCGGAATATCATCACCTCATATTCCAAAAGGAGTAGTGACTATATTCTGATAAAAAAAAAACTGCGACCAAAGTTCAATAATTCAGTCCAATCAAAGCGTTCCAGGATATTTGTCTTTCTACATTCTACATTCCAAAGCAAAGAGTGCACACTGATACCCCTGTCTCACCAACGATTCCGACGTGAGATCGAGCAAGAATTTACATTGCCCCTAATGGCTAGGGATCGGTCGGGCTTGCATTGGTGTGAAAGTGCCTAGGCGAAGTAGACACATTTAAGATGAACTTTACACACTAATATGTATAGAATGGTTACTATTGTGAGTCACCCCAATCACAGGGCAATTACGAATACCAACATCACTTTATAGATGGGATCAAGAAGTGCTTGTCTCCCCCCCCCCCCTTGCCCTGCTTTGTAGCCTCACACACAGTATTCTATTCCTGTTAATCCATGCATAATTAAATCTTTAGATTAATCATGTCATTTATTGTATAATTGATTGTTGTAAAGCACATAGAGAATTTATTATTATGCGCTATATAAAAATGACTTTATTATTACTATTATTAATTCTTTAATAATATTTGTTTTTTCTTCGTTTCATTTGTTTGCTCGCTTATGAAGGGAAACCAAAACATATTCTTTTCATAATCTTATATTTGAGTTTTTTTATTGTAATGAAACATGATTGAAACAAACAAATTAATTCCACCTGAAAATGAAAAAAAATAATACAAATAGGAACTGATTCGACATTGTATTGAATAATTAATTAATATTTGTGTGACCGAATGTATTCTCGGTTGGTATTGTTCTAGAAATAATGCGGGTTTCATTTGAACTTTAAAGGTTCGCGAACTTTTAAATGAAAAGACGGTTATAGATTTTTATTTTTGACTACACCCGCCTACGTGACCACTACAAATGTCGCTATTGTTATGACATTCATGGCTTCCCTCATTGTGTGTCTCATTCACAACGGGTAAGTGTCCATGGACTTTGGATTCGGATATTTTTTTGCGTGATTAAAACCAGCCAACAAACAAAACAAACAGGATGGATAGGAAAAAACAACCGATATACCTGCGTGTAATAGCCTTTCGATTCTTAGTAATGACGTAAAAGCGATGTAAAAACGGAAAGCAGTTTGATGGGGTTCACCCTTTGCTTATACTAGTGTTTAGTCATCCTAAAGGGTTCTCGATTTGAATTGCTTCCGACCTGCACGTGCGAATAAAATCCGGTTCCCTTACTGTTCACTAAGTGCGTGGCATAGTAACCCTGGAACTTCATTTGAGAGCGGAAATATTATGAAAAACAGAAGAGAGATTATTTCACAGGGCTGGTTAATTTCCTCAACATTTCAATTGAATTTTATAATTATGAATGGACTAATTTCACTTTCAGTGTTATGACACCGGGTCAATAACCTAGCTCGTATGGCAAATTGCGGTTCAATGTCGTTTGCAATGGTGTATTGAGCTAATATACATAATACGTATATCAAACGGAACTTCTGTTTGATAAGATAGCTTCGTAGAATAACCTTCATTGTGACGTCATTTCTGTGAAGTGTTTGTGCAAAGTTTCAAACATGACTTGTCGTATCCACGCATTGTCCCTTGTTCTTATTATTTATCGTATATTTAGTATCATAACCATTGATATAGGTTCAGGTACTCATATTGTTATTGATTATTAACAATTGATATGCACCGTCAAAGAAAGTATATCAATATAATTTTGAGCTTTCAATATTTTGAAATAAATGTCACGGTATTAAAAAGAAAAGAAAAAAAAAGATTGAATGACACTTCAAAGCATCGGAAATTTGAAGATGGATCCCCCCAATCGTAAAAATGTGTTCATGTTTTTGGCTCTTATATAGAGAGAGTAACAAAAAGGAAGTATAGAAATATTTGAGTGATATCAACAATGCAACTTATTAACAATAATGGGGAAAGGAACACTGCAAAGATAGTAATAGGGGAGTTTGATCTCAAATCAAAGAATTTGATTATTTTACTTCCTTGCATGTTACAGTTTTTTCTTTTTCTTCTCGAAATTGTGCCCCTTCACCATGTTTACAAAAAGCTGGAAACGCCCTTGTCCGCCACAATACGAATTCACCAAACTTATAATTCTCGTCTTTCTCCCTTGTCGTTTTTCGATCAGGTCTTCGATCAGGTCTTCGACAGCCGCCACCGCCTGGCCATGGGGTGCAACGACAACGCCGTGCCGTCTGACATGACCGAGGTCGACTACCAGAAGAAATGCATTTACGAGGTCAAGGACCCCGAACGGGACCCCGCGAGCACGGAGCCGAGGTCGGTGACGTCACTACCAGGCAACCTCCGATTCAAGCGCCGGAATGAACAGGTAAGAATTGGCCCGTTTAGACTACACGAAATTTATATGAAAGGCCATACATGTGTATGTGTATAAAGAATATATGTATAATCAAGAATCCTCGTAATTATCGAATCTAATTTGTTGTTCGAAACGATGTTCAAATGTGCATTTGCTATAGTATACGATATTTCGTTGTATGACGTTCAAGACGAGATTTTTTGTAATCTTACTCATCGTGTAGCTTTAACGATTTTGGTGTAGCCATCCGATTAATTCAGGTTGTCTGAACGAGGGGGATGAGTGCGGTTAATGTACCTACAATGATTGAATGACAATATCATTTTGTACAATAAGTAATTGCCTTTTTCTCTGTTTCTGCCTTTATGGCTCTCGCTATCTCTCTCTCTTTCTCATCTCTCCATCTTCTTCTCTCTCTCTCTCTCTCTCTCTCTCTTTGTGTGTACCTGTCTGTATTCCCATGGAACCTACGATTGTCTCACCCTCTATCTTCATCATTATGCCCCATTTTGTTATTTGCACTGAAATAAATCGTCTACCGACTTCAAAGGAATTTCCTAACGTGCGTGCTTGAAAGTTGTTAAGACGGCTTGCATGACTTGTAAACCATAATGGCTCAAGGACATAAAATCGGGCGAATGGATCACGAGAAATTAAAAAGAGGTCATGTTTAGGCAAAGTTCAAACCAGAAGAGATATGAAAAAAGAAGATACACAAATCAAGTGTATTTCATGATTGATCCGTCCAATCAAGATGTTAATTTAATTTTGTCTTAATCACGCACAGGTGGTCGGTGTCCTAGCAGATGAGTACATACCAAAAGGTACGCGGTTCGGACCCCTAGCTGGAAAGATTTACAGGGAGGAGGAGGTGCCTGAAGATGCCAACAAGAAATACTTTTGGAGGGTGAGTAATATTTTTTTCTTTTTCTCCTCCGTTTCTATTCATGACAGAAATATAGAAGGGCCTACTGATCTAGACGCTTTGTTCGTATTTATTGGATCAAACCTAATAAATGAATACTTTATTGTTCTTCCAAGATTTTAAATACTTTGCTTTAAGATAATGCATAATTAGGAGAAAAAAAGAAGAAAACTAAATAAATCAACAATTAATTGTTTCTTCTTACATTTTAAAATGAATTTAAACGTACGGATCCAATAACATGGTTATTGCTGTATTGCATTAATAGATATGTGAATACACGTTATGAATACGACTTCAAATTGTGTAATAGGAAGACATTGTAAATGTTACTGTGCTCAAATTTTTACATCAAGGAGTGCAATAATAAAAACAAAATATAGATGGATGAATACTGTGTGAAGTACAATGCTAAAAAACAATATAATTATGAATTAACGACCAAGATCACTAATTTTCTCCACTTTATTTTGTTTAATTACCCTTTCTAGATTTACAATGGCCAGAAGTTCGTCCACTACATTGACGGTTTCAACAAGAAGCGAAGCAACTGGATGCAGTACGTCAGCCCCGCCGGAGCTTCGGCGGAACAGAACATCGTTGCCTGCCAGTACAAGACCGATATTTTCTTCTACACTACGAAAGCTGTCGAGCCGGGCCAGGAGCTGTTCGTGTGGTATTGTACCGAGTTCGCTAAGCGCCTCGAGAAACCAGTTGTCGCCTCCAGAGCTAGTCCAGTTATGAAGAGAGGTAAGCAGAAATTAATCAGCCGTCAATTAATAGATTGTTCATAAACTGAACCAAATTCTATTTAAAGGGCTGCATTGATATGCTTTTTTTCTTATCTTTTAATTGGCAAAACACTTGTATTTGTTTCTTTTACTGCTAAATTAATCATCTGAATAGTAACTATATGAAAATAAATAGGCTAGTTGGAGACAAAAGATTCAATTTGCAGAAAATAATGAGTTTAAACTAAAAATATTTGTTAAGGAAAAGTTATTTTGATGGTTATAACGCCATCATGAACGCATAACAAACTTTGAGAAAATAAGTGCAACTGTTGCTTATATTTAGTAACATTAATTGTTATTGTACACAATTCATACAAAATGATTAGATCAAAAATCATTATGAATCAAATTATAATATCATAATTAATCCAATAACATCTTATGAAATAGTGATTCGTTTTTATTTTATTAAAACTTCGTCCAAAAACTTTACAGCTGTTTCATTTGTTTCGTTTTTTTTAGAACCCGCCGTTCCTGTCCCTGCTCCTTCAGAGGATGTTCTCGACTTCAGTCGTCGTCCACACCAACTGTCTTCCACAGTCAATGATGTCAAGTCTTCCTTTCCAATGTCTTCAAGCCTTGCCAGAAGTTCTTCCGACCACCTTGCTGCTGAGGCCGGAGTCAGTAAGACCTTGTACCCCAGCCTTCCACCCACCTTCGCCTTCAGCCACCGGGTTGGATGCAGCCCACCGGGTACGGACATCAAACAGGAGCCACCAAGTCCAACGTCCACTTCCCCTATGGGCAGTTCAACCCTGTTGCCGACCCAACCAGCCATTCCTATGTCAAGGATGTACCCGACCAGTGGTGCTCCGGTTGTTGTACCATTACCTATGTATGGCCTGTCACCAAACTACATCAGTACTGCAGGTGGTCTCACATTGCTTGCCTCACAGCCCATCTACTCTATGCCGTCCAGCAGAATGATGGATTCTCGCTCTTTGGAACTGACCAAGAATCGCCACATACAGCCCAAGCCTCTTTTAAATCGACCACTTGCAGATTCCAATGGCTATCTTTCAGAACACGAAGCCAGCATGAAGCAAGATGTTTCCAGGCGGGTCAGGCGCAGCAGTAACCCGAACTACGGCCATCGTGCTCTTGGCTACGAGCTTCCACGCCGCAACGGCAAGATTGTCTACGAATGCAATGTCTGCAAGAGGGAATTCGGGCAGTTGTCGAACCTCAAGGTCCACCTCCGCGTCCACACCGGCGAGAAACCCTTCTCCTGCGATCTTTGCGGGAAGGGCTTCACACAGTTCGCTCATCTTCAGAAGCATCATCTCGTTCACACAGGGGAGAAGCCACATTGCTGTCACGTCTGCGAGAAGCGGTTTAGCAGCACCAGCAACCTCAAGACCCACATGCGACTCCACAGTGGGGACAAGCCCTACAACTGCAAGGAGTGCCCGGCCAAGTTCAACCAACAAGTCCATCTCAGGCTGCACAAGAAGGCACATCTTGAAGGCAACGTCGAACTCTTCATGGACTTCAGCGACGATGCTGACACCCCAAGCACCGATGGGTCCGTCATCGCTGGTCTTCAAGATCACCTGGCCAGCACTGAGGTCACCGACTATTTCGGGAATACCGATGTGACGTCCCCTAGCAGTCGAGATCGTCTCGACGATGATGAGGAGGACGACGAAGGCAAGTTGATCATCCAAGAGAATGGGAGATCGCTGGAAACATCACCCATGGGCTACATGTTTCGATCTGATGCCATGGACGAAACGTCTCAAGAACTCTGCGACTCCCCCTCGACTGGAATAATCGCGTCCAGCTGCAACGGCGTAGAAGACGACGCGATGGAAGTCACTAAAACCGACCAAGACCAATCAGCAGCCTTTGAGAGCAAAGACAACGTTGCCCTTCCCTTGCTATCTGAACTCCCTGAAGCATCATCTCATGCAATCAAAAGATCCCATCCTGAACTGGAGTTCGGATCAAGAAGCAAGTTATCCAAGTCCAATCCTGCCCTCAAACTCGAGAACGTCGTCCAGAAGATCCTCAATCGTACGAACAAATCATAGAACTTCTTCTTAAGTCGAACAATTTTGATTTTATCAGGGTGCTCGCTTTGGCTAGTAAATGTTAAATTACCAACATAAGAAAAATGCTCAAGCTTGAATCTTGGTTTTCCGACTTGTTTAATGTATTATGGATTTGCGATCAGACTTGAATAGACAATCAGGAAAATAAGCAATTTGGATGCTACGAACAATGTCAGCTCAGAAACAAGCATAATAATATTAGTCAACAGACTCATAATATTTTGTTCGAAAGAACGCATTTGTATATATATTGAATATTGCCAACTGTACGATAGGTGTATGAATAAATATTAATCATACTGAAATCATTACGCCAAAATAAGCCGATTATGACTATCAATGAGTTAGTGCCATATTCTGCCGAATCATCTTTATTTTGTATAAATTATTCTCTATTGATCATAGCTAAAATAAGAATAATACTATTTTTGTCAAATTAATGATTGAAATTTGGACATGCTCTGAATGTTACTATTTTACCTGTGATTTCAAATCAGTTCACATGAGTTAATTACCGATTTGAATACCTCTATAAGACTTTCCGCATCGAACGGATTCTCTGTATTCAACTTTCATCTTGAAAAGTTAAATTATATATGTGTCTTTCAAAAATGATCTGTGTTAACATTCATGTAATTATGTAAAGAGCAGGAGTTTTCTGCTTCTTTTGCTTTGGAGAAAATTGATTTAATTATGATGTGATTGCAGAATGTTTTCTGAAGTTTTAAACGTTTATTATAGTCTACCGAGGTCTACCGATGTAATATTATTGTCTTTCAAACCAGGAAGTCACAAGCAATTATGAAATTGTCTTTCGCTGTATAACTGTCTGATCTGTAGAAGTTGTAGGATTACTCAATACAATGGATGTAAAACGTGATCAGAAAGAATTTCAAGAAATTTAGATTTAAACAATATCAATATCCTTGTTCGTAACCCTTTGAAACGTGCGAATATCGCAAAGACAAATAGCATTATGTGAATATGATTTTCAAATAATATGCATAAGGGTATTTAAATGACCCTTGAGTCGATTTCTTGAAGGCCTTTGCGATCATGATGTAAGTTAGAGTATATAATTTAATCAAGAGTGCCAAAACATGCAGTAGCGGGGTAGCGATACATTGCGGCCCGAATTCACAAAGGACGTTTGTCGACAAACCTAGTTTTATGTGCGTCACAATTATGACGCGTATCGACGCGTTTTTACAAACCAAGGGGTCTGTATGCCCCCCCTCATTCCAGTATCATATTATAATCATGTGCACAAATGTAATGCTCGACCGTCAGCTTGCCGTGGTGAATGAAATATTAATCAATTAACTAATTAGTATTGATATCAAGATATTTTCTAAACTAGACACTAGCGAAACTTTTATGATTCGAACCTTAGTATTCAGTTATTTATTAATGATAGTCACAGGCAAGGTAATTCAAAATAGGATGTGTATTCTCACGTGGTCTTACTATATTTAAGATAAATGTTATTGTTAGAAGAATAGTTTATTTTCTATGTATATATATGTGATGTTCTTTAATACAACTCATGGGATAATAGCAGTGTGCCTAGCAGTGCAAGGCGTTTACGTACATTAGATCTTCCAACAGGATTGTGCCTTATATTGATGACATTTTTTTGTATAAAATTGAAAGTGACATTTTTGCCAATAAAAATTATGTTTATGTCAACAGTGATTTTGATCGGTTTCTGCGATGACTTGTATTTTTGTGAAGGACGGGTTAGACTTGTTACTCGCGACAGAAGAAACGAGAGATATATATTGAGAGAGAGAGAGATGAAGGGCAAACAAGAGGGAGAAAGAGAGAGAGGGAGAGAGAGATGGAGAGCAAGCGAGAGAGAGAGAGAGAGAGAGAGAGAGTGTGTGTGTGTGTGTAAGTATGTGTGCGTGTTTAAGAAAGACATTGAGAGAGAGAGAGAGAGAGAGAGAGAGAGAGAGATGACCAGGAAGAGAGGACATAAAAGGGAGAACAAATCCCAGAAAACAGTAAAAAGATCGAGGGGAGTAACAAATAGCAGTAAAGACAACAAGACGGAGAGAGAGAGGGGGTAGACAGATACAGAGAGTTGGGGACGAAATAAAAGAAGACCCCCGGAAAGAGTAAAAGATGGAGGGGAGGTAACGAATATAGAGAGGGAGAGAGAGAGAGAGAGAGAGAGAGAGAGACAGAGACAGACAGACAGGTAGAAGAAGACGGATGGAGAGAGCTCTAGAGAGAGAAAGAGCGAGAGAGAGGTAGGGGAAGCGATGAATGATGAGAACGTATTGTGTGGATGCAAATCGGAAAAAAGCCTCATGGTTTTTACCCAGTATGTACATGGGAATAAAACTTACTATAAATACAAGAAGACATAATTGAAAAGGAATTTCAGGAACCTATATATATATATATATATATATATATATATATATATATATATATATATATAACAAAAAACAGAAAAAAGGAAATATCTGTCAAGCCCCTATATATTGTGTCATTGAATTTAGAATGTTCTGTTCATCGTAACTGACTCACTTTCGGTAATAACTGCGTTTTCATGATTTTTTTTTTTTTGTCAATGATATTTTATTTTCTCCATTGCTTTTCACAAATAATAACAAAAATAACAACAACAAAATCAATACATAGAATAATCTGCATGTTAATATTATTATATAGAATATGATTTTACATTCACATCTAAATAATACAAAAGAACTTTTACTACTTACATCAAATAAAGCATGAAACATGCATGCATGAAGAAGGCATGAACATAAAAAGACATTTAAGAAAAAAAAAACACATAAACACACGTGCACAGACACCCACACAAACACCCACTGAAAAAATGCCTACATTTTGTGAGAATCTCGACCATTATATCAGCCATGTCCATTTCATTGCTTCTATTCGCCTTCCTCATTTTATTTATTCTGCACGAAGCTATTCTAAATTGTCCCACTTTCTAAAATGATATGTGAGTGTACCTCGGTCCCAAGCTAATTTCTTCTCCTCCTTTCTATTTTCTAATAATCTTTTCTTAATCTCCAAATAAGTTGGTGGTCTTTGTCTATTTTTACTATCTATAAATATCATATATTTTATCAAAATTATGATATGATTTAATTACTGTTCCTTCCCTATGTTTAACTCAACTATCCCTACATGGATACCTTTGTATCGTAGATGTATCAATAATTTGTTTAGGCCGGGTGATGGCGTCCTGTTATTTCTAGTGCTGCGAGACCTTAATCTTGCATTTCCAATTTCTATTTCTTGTATCTCCATTGATGTCCATAGTCAAAGAAGTTACTTATTATGACACTCTTATTTTGTTATAAGATTTAAATCATGCATTATCAATTTTGTGTATAATATCACTTGCATTTTATCAGAACAATATCACCTAAATAACTAATCAGATATTTGGGGAAAATGAAGAATTTGTAAATCAGCAAAATGAAAATCAGGAGACGAGAAAGATGTTTCATAGTGCATATTGAAAGTGAGAAAGCTTTTATTTCGACAGAATATAATCACAAGAGATATTCTTATCCTGAAGAATCCATTTAAGGCTTTATGGTCCGAATCTAAGGCGGGTATTTTATTTGCCGGACATCGCTTTTACCGCTGTGATGTATTTTCAATTGCGCCATCTCTCGGTGGAAGCATACAAAGAGGGATTTCAGGTTCCTGTATCCAAGGCCTAACAAAAAAAAAAGAAAGATGTTGTATTGCCCTTTAGGTGCCAAAACATGGGTCGGTCGGTCGGAAATCTTTTTTTATTATTTATTTATATATTTTTTTTAAACTTAAAAAAACACAACTCCCTCTTCGGGCTGATATTTCTCAGTTTTGTCGCCCATGCATACATACAGGTGTCAGGTAAAAATGCCAGAAGAAATAATGCTAGAGGTAAAAATGCCGGTGGAAAAAACGCCAGCGGTAAAAATGCCAGCGACAAAAGTGCCAGTGGTAAAAATGCCAGTAACAAAAATGCCAGTGACAAAATGCATACATACAGGTGTCGGATAAAAATTCCAGAGGAAATAATGCTAGAGGTATAAAAATGCCAGCGACAAAATTGTCAGCGGTAAAAATACCAGTAACAAAAATGCCAGTGGTAAAAATGCCAGTCAGTATACACCCGTCAGTTTTACCCCTCCTTTAATACAACGTTCAATTGTGAATTAGAGTCCTCGAGTGTGACTTAAAGCCCCACTGCACTACTTATAGCTACTTGCGCCCTCTATACATCTAACAATACCTAAGCGGTGCCCGTCGATCCACTATGATGCCCCTTTTCTTATGTTTATTGAGTGGTGATTTGATCAGATAACCACCTGCCAGTGACCTTGCACAGAGGTCTAATCCCTCCATGCCAAACTAGTGTAGAGGGGCTTTAAGTTTTATGGAAACCAGTGGAAATGACTTTTCCCCCAAAAATCAGATCAGGAAAATTGATTGACCCGAACCCTTGCTTATATGAGTTAAAGGTAATACAATTTTTGGTATGGGGTCATCATGAATTTGGTTAAAATGAACATATTGGAAGCATATGCGATCCTACAATATTCAGTGATCGTTGTCGCGGTAGAAATCGAGTCTAAAGTCATGAAATTGTAAATAATAAACTCTTTATGTTGTATAGCTCCTTCTCAAGGTCAAGATATCAATTATGCTATAAAACAATGTTTCTTGACTAAAATCGACCGATTAGCCTTTTCCGTTCGGAAATTATATATTGCAACTACATATTCTAATATTTTCCTGGTCGAGCTACCATTGTACGGCCGTAGGCGCGATTTGAAATTCATAAAAATTTACCGGGAGCACCGGTAAATCTTTATATTCAATTTTTCTCAAAAAACAGAAGTGTTTTAGGGGCTAACACTTCTTGTGCTTATAATACATCCACAGGGGCATCCAAATATATCAAATTTATAAAGAATCACTATCCACCCAATTTTCAAAATTTCAAAACTTTGTATTAGCAGATGAAATTATACTATATCATTATTACATACAAGAATAATAAATAAATATATATTTTAGGGGATTGATTTTTTGTTGTTCCATGTCAACATTTTGATTTCTACAGAACTAAGAAAATTGTCATTATATTGATAGTTGATCTAGTAATTCAAATACTTAACCCAGTCGTTCAAATAACTTGATATGATGTAAGATCAAGTATAAGTCGAAGTCGCTGCCCGATTATGAGGTGACGGTTGCCCAACTATTGTAAATTTCGATATTCTTAGGGTGAGGGAGCAGGAGGATACAACCTGCAGCCTGAAGGGCCTTTAGCACCCCCTTCAGTTCCCGCGTCGTTCGCCTAAGGCTGTAGAAGTAGAAGAAGAAGAAGAAGTAGTAGTATTAGAAGTTGTTGTAGTAGTGATAGTAGTAGTAGTAGTGGTATAGTAGTAGTAATAGTTGTGGTGGTGGTGGTAGTAGTAGTAGTAGTAGCCTAGTAGTAATAATAGAAGTAGTAGTAGTAGTAGTAGTAGTAGTAGTAATAGTAGTAGTAGTAGTAGTAGTAGTAGTAGTAGTAGTAGTAGTAGTAGTAGTAATAGAAGTAGTAGTATTAGAAGTTGTTGTAGTAGTGGTAGTAGTAGTAGTAGTAGTAGTAGTAGTAGAATTTGTTGTAGTAGTAGTAGTATTAGAAGTTGTTGTAGTAGTGATAGTAGTAGTAGTAGTAGTAGTAATAGTAGTAGTAGTAGTAGTAGTAGTAGTAGTAGTAGAAGTAGTCAGGGGTGAAGATTTCTTTTCGTGACCGGGGGGGGGGGACGAATGCGAGATTTTCTACAATATTTACTAGTAAATTTTTAAAGTAGATTATGCGAGGAGCGTAGCAACCGAGCGAGAATAATTTCGCATCTTTATTAGTCTTAGGCCCTCCAGTCCTCTCCGACTCGTCCAATAATGTCATAACTCGAGAAATATATTCTTGTATCCAGTGGCGTACGCAGGATTTTTTCAAGGGGGGGGGGGGGGGGTTTAAAATCGGGTCCAAAATTTCGCAACGACTCAGGGAAATTTGAAAATCGCGCCGGCCAAAAAGTCGCTCAGTGGGGGGGGGGGGGGGGGGGGGGGGGGGGGGGTAAGCGGACACTTTTTTTTTTTTTTAGGGAGTCCAAAAAAAAATCGCAACGACTCAGCCAGCCGGAAAGTCGCTCAGTGGGGGGAGGGGGGGGGGGGGGGGGGGGGGGGTAAGAGGACACTTTTTTTTGGGGGGGGGGGGGGGGGTCTCGAAATTTGAAAATTTGACATTTTACTTCGCTATGGGGGGGGGGGGGGGTAAGGTCACCTTTCTTATGTCAGCCATGGGGGTAATTATTATTTTTTTTTAGATGGCTTTGAGTGTGATACAAGCAGGCGCGTACGCAGCGGGGGTGTTTGGGGGGTTAAACCCCCCCTTTGGTATTTTTATGTGTGTAAACCCCCCTAAAAAAATCTAAAACTCCCCCCCCCCCCTTGGATTTTTTTTTTTTTTTTTTAATAATTTAAAAAAAAAAAAAAAAAAATCCAAAGGGGGGGGGGGGGGGGGGAGTTTTAGATTTTTTTTAGGGGGGTTTACACACATAAAAATACCAAAGGAGGGGGGGGGGGGTTTAACCCCCCAAACACCCCCCCTGCGTACGCGCCTGCTTGTATCACACTCAAAGCCATCTAAAATTTTATAAAT